GTAGTGCTCGGGGTCAGAGGACCTCTGCTATCTAGCAGTGCGAACACGGGCACTCAGGTTTTCGCTGAAAAATTTATTATTTTTATTGGGAGTCAACCATAATTATAAAACTAAATGTGCAGAAACTTGCTAAAACTTTGTTTTAAAGCAATTCATGTTTATATTACAAGTAATGTCAAAATGCCTTAAAAATATTCCTGTGTTGTCAAAAGTAATGTAAAAATGTACATTTCAGAGCAAGAGAGTTAGTGTTGTGAGTAAGGCTTTAAAAACAAAATTATCCTTCCAAAAGAAACAAATAAAACTATGTCTCTTTAGCTATCCAATAACTACTTGAACCTTGGGAATGTGAGCACTGTTCCTCGAGTCAGGGACAGTGGATGCTCAAGACCCATGCGTGCAGTATGGCCAAGACATACCCCCCACACGGGACACAGACTTGTAGTCATATGACAAGTTTATTAGGAAAGGCCAAAGGTTGTACCTCCATGCACTAACAAACAGGCGGTGGAGGGGGGAAGGGTGCTGTTATGTCTTGGAAGCAGCTGCTGGAGCACTGTCCTTGAGGCTCTAAGGCAGAGGCAAGGTGGAAGAATTGCTGACACCCAAAGGTGTCTGCTTTCCAAGCCTTCCGATACTTCTCAAGCCATTGTCCACTGGAAATAACATGGCCAGTTTTCATGTTTTTCTCTGAAAATGTCAGGTTCTCCTGCAATAGCCCGCTTCCCAGAGAAGACAGGTCCTGGGACTTTCCCTACAGACCCTATGACCTCTAATGGTCAATGGTCTGCACCAGAAAGGACTCCAACATATCTCTATTTATGTATTTATTTAGTTTCTGTTTTGTTTGATTTTATGCTCATGGTTAACCTCTTAGAACAGCTGAGCCAGACCCAGCTGTACTCAGGGGTTATTCTTGGCTCTGTGTCCAGGGATCACTCTTGGTGTTGTTTGAGGACCATATGCAGTGTTGAGGGTTGGACCTGGGTCTTATGCATGCAAGGCAAGTGCTTTATCCACTGTACTATTTCTCGGCTGCATCCTTATTTATATACAAATTTTTTCAGTCAACTTATTTTCCAGGCTTAAGCTATAATTCTAGCATTGCAATTCACATCTGAATATAAGAGAAAAATAATTTTTAAGTTTCAAAGTTTATTAAGCTTAAGAATCTTCCTTTAAATTTTTGACTGATTAATTTGCAAAACAATGCTGTGCTAAAGGCAAACATCAGGAATTCTATAAAGGACTTCTGAACAATGAAAATAATTAGGGGCCAGAGGATAGTACAGTGGGTAAGGCACTTGTCTTGCACGTGACTGACCAGGGTTCGATACCCACCATCCCATAAGTACTCTGAACACTGCCAGGCATGATCACTGAGCACAGAGCCAGGAGTAAGTCCCAGGCACAGCTGTGTGTGTCCCCAAAACCAAAAGCCAAAGAAAAAAGCTTAAAATTTTATGGTCATGGTTGATCAGAATCTGGCAGTACTCTTTTTTGAGAGTTTTTGACAATTATAAATTAGTCAACAACAAAATTTAGGGGACGCAAAGTCCACATTAAATCATTCTCAATTCTGATACCAATGGCAAGTTTCAGGAGGTTCCCAGAACCAACATGAAGGTCAGTAATTCACTAGTGGAACTCACAGAGCTCAAAGAAAGCTGTTATGTTCGATTACCACTTATCACAAATTTAATTCATCTATGGAAAAGGTGAACAGAGCAGAATACAGGAAAGGATGAAATATTTAAATAAAACCTCTTCACGTGAAGTCAGGATGCATTACTGTCTCTGTGTAAATGTGGGACTGTGTATACGAAGTACTGCCAACCAGAAAAGCTTAACCAAACTCTGGTATTATTTGGATCTCTGTTGAGTAGAGATGATTGAATTAGAGATTGAGCACAGGGATATCAACTTTCAGATCAACTTATACCAGGTGTTTCAATATCCTCACCTATGTTACATTGTTGATCTTTCTTACATAATCATTTCCTACCTTAATTCATATTTTCACCCTATCCAGTGTGACCCAAAGTTCCCAGACAAACCATGACAGTCCATGAGCCTAGGGACCACTTCTCATCGGATGAGAACTAATACCAGGCCTCGTTTTGGAAATATTGATTCCCCATTGCACACTAACTTTTGCAAAAAGACATTTAATATTTTTTCATAGATCACTACTAATGTAAATGTGAAGTTTCCATTCCATTGCCTCTCTAGGGTTCATTAAAAGAGAGAGAGTGATGGATTGAGAAAGAACTTTATTGGCAATAAGTCAGCAGACTGACCACCATTTTCCAAAACAATCACAAGAAGTTTTTAATAGAAAAAAGAGAAAAAGGACACATTTTAAAAATGGGTAGTTTGAGGATGGAGTGACAGTACAGTGGGTAGGGCGTTTGCCTTGCATGCGGCCAACCTGGGTTTGATCTCTGACATCCTATCTGGTCCCCTGAGCACTGCCAGGAGTAATTCTTGAGTTTAGAGCCAAGAATAACCACTAAGCATTGCCTAGTCATTTGGGTGTGATCCAAAAAGCCAAAAACAAAAATAAAAATGGGTAGGTTGCAAATAGGTGGATGCCAGAATGATGGATAAATGCCCAAATTCCATGAGACACAGTCCCTTTTATCCAAACAAAGTGAGTGTTAGGCTTTTGGGGGAAGGCTAAACAGAGACCAAACTTTACTTAAGTTTTGTGGAAGGCATAAAAGTGAAGGACATCTTTTATTTAGGCAAATTTTCTGGTTTCTAATATTGATCTCTGGGTGAGTTTTATTAACAGATGAGTATTTACAATTAGTTTTGATATTTCAAATATAGGAAACACATAACTTTGACCTCCAATGAAGTAAAATGTGATCTCTCATGATTAATCATGTATTACAAAATATAGAATTGTTCAATATAAAATTTTGAATCTTTATTAGTGTAAAATTATGAAACATTTTCTTTCTTACTGTCAAGTACCTACACAATATCCTTGAGTTTACCTCTTGGACTACAAAGAAGGAAACATTTACTATGTGATCTTTTATGGAAAACGTTTACCGTCTTCTAATGTATAATTTAAAGTATTACCATGGGGGTTAGTTTAATGATCAACGTGGAGACTCCTAAGTCTCAATATTTAATCAAATACCAATACACATCTTGCCTTGAAAGTATTTGTAGATGCATCTAGCGTCAGCAGCCAATTAACTTTAAGTGACGCAGATTATTATCAGTAATTAGTGTGGGCCAGACCCCATTAGTTGAAAGGTTGTTATTTACACTTTCCTTGGACAGATGAAATCTGCCCTATGGGACTATAGAGTGACTGACTCAAAGGGCTGGAGTTCATGCATTACAGTAAAGCATGAGATGTGGGTTTATTCTCCAGGACCCTCATGGACCCAACTCCCCTGCCAAGACAGAAATAGCCCCTGTACCCCTGGGTATGAGCTCAAAACAGCAGCAGATTCTTTCTGTAGGCAGCAGCTTCAGTTCCTTCCTGAGTTTCCAGCCTGACCTTTCTGATGGCCAGCTTGCAGATTTTAAACTTGTCTACTGAGCTTCATAGCTACATTAGTCAATTCTTGACAATAAAAATCCATTTGTCTGTTTCATATATTCTACCAGTTTTGTTTCTTTGGTGGACTACTGACTGATTTAACAGTTACTGCCCAATTTGTGTTGTTTGAAAACTGGAAAGGAAGTAATTCAGGTAAAATAAAATTAATATTTTGCCATAGCTGCCTGTCAACTGTGATATTGCCTAATCTAGTTTATTCATTCTCTAGTGAAAAGCAGAAGGGAGTAGTGAGATTTATAAATAAAGAAAATTCAAGAAGACTTTAACTCAGTCTTATTACGGTGGATCGGAAGATTATTTTCTCTTTCTTTTCCTTCTTTCTTTCCCTTTTTCTTTCTTCCTCTTTCTCCACACACATGCAAAATAGGCACTCCGCCTTGAGCTGCACCCTCAGCTTCATATTTTTGTTTCTTGATTGGGTCTGTTCCTGGAGCAAAAAATAACATTTTGTAGAGAAATGTATTCGTTAGTCCAACTCCAGAACTCTTCCTGTGATGCATTGTTGGATGACTGTTAGGTTACCCATGACCTCCTAACATTGAAAGGTCGGTCTTCTGCTTGTGTATTTTCAGAGGACAGTTTAATCATAGTTTCATGCGGATCTGTCTACCAAAAGTATACCAACTGCAAATGGCCTCCTCTCCATGTGGGTATTTAGCTCTGATGTGTCACCCACTGTGTATATTATCTTCTTTAGTCCTCCTAGAAAGTGTCACCTACTGCATACATTAAGGTAAAGGTAAAGGTAAAGGCCCTCCCGTTGATCGTCGATTTGCTCGAGTGGGCCCAGTAACGTCTCCATTGGAGACTTTGTTGTTACTGTGTCTGGCATATCGAATACTCTCGGCAGCTTGCCGGGCTCTCCGAGAGGGGTGGAGGAATCGAACTCGGGTCGGCCATGTTGGCCGCTTGTAAGGCGAACGCCCTACCCGCTGTGCTATCGCTCCGTATCTGCTCTAATCCAGGTCCTAATAAGCATGCCAAGTAGTGTCTCGTTTTATAGATGAGAAAACGGAAATATAAAAATCAGGCAAATTGTCTTAATCTCTTAGCTGATAAGTCTGGGTTTGAATGTACATCTGACTTCAAAGCTCAGAGTAAGAGGTGAGGGTGTGGCGGGTTCTGTCTAGTCACTGGCTTATGAATCAGGAGGCTTCCTGCACTTGCAATAGTGGCTCTAGTCCATCCCAGGCCTGGGGAGGAGAAAAGTCAGGATGGTCCTGCCTTGCAGGGGGACTTCTGGCCTTCTGTGCCCCTGCCCAGCCTGAGAGAGGAGGAGGAGGAGGAGGAGCAGGGAGCCCTGGGTAGGGGAGGAGGGGAGCGAGTGGAGTGAGGGCGGGCCCCTGAGAAGGAGTTTGAAAAGAGGAAGGAAGTGGGGCCCTGCAGAGTGCAAAGCCACCCCTGACTGCTTCCCCACCCGCAGAATCAGCGACTCAGGCCCTGGCTCAGCCATGACTCCCTGGCGCAAAACTGACAAGGACCGGCATGGAGTGGGTAGGTGTGGGCAGGGGAACTGGCAGGGAGCAGGGCAGGTAGCCACAGGAAGATGCTCTGGAAACCAGCAGCCGGGACATGGGCAGAACTCTGTGGCTCAAGTTTCCAGAGCGTAGTAACTCCCTCAGCTTGCGGCAGGTCCAGCCAGACAGGACAGAGCGGGCCAGGGGAGAGGAAGGCGGGCCCCAACCCTGCAGGTGAGGTGTGTGGACTGGGCCCAGTCCATGCCTTTCTACTCACCGCTGTTGTGCTCTTCGAACTCAGGTTCTTTCCAGATGGGGGTCCAGCGGAGTGCTTGGCAAGCTTCTCTGTGTGCCAGGCCCAGTGTTCCAAAAAAGGTTGACTCCATCACCTTCTCTGGAGATTCAGTCTCGGGGAAGGAGCCACCCATTAACTGCTGACTGGTCTAGCATGCCACTCTCCACTCCTGTCCAAGTGATAGCCGTCTGCCTGCTTTCCCTGTCTGTTCCTCCTGGGTCAGATGACCTCTGGTTCAGCAGAGTGTCGAGAGGGCCATTCAGGCTTGAGGCATGAGGCTGGAGGGTGGGATCTTCCACTCAGTCCTGGAGAGTTTCTGCGGAGATTCAAAAAGTCAGCCTCATCAGTTGCAACCATCTAAGCTCTCGGCAGCTCAATGGCGGAAGTGGTGGCTGGGGGAAGGGAGCCTTCAGGTACTGGGACTCTTTCTGAGTGTCATCTGTGGTGCAATTCCCATGGACCCGTTGTGGTTTTTAAACTTCAGCATGAATTTTAAAATTGCCCAGGAGCGTACTGCACAGGAGATACTGGACCCCACCAGCAGAGATGTGGCCTCAGCTCACCTGGCATTGGGAACCCATGAAGCAAGAGTGTTTAGTGTAATGATCCTAAGGCATTTGATAAACACTCCATGAGTCCTCAAAAGTTATGGGGCTCTAGGTACCGTGGCATGCTTGGAGATGAATGACCTTCATCCAGGGACTACTACTACTAATTCCTTCGCTTTCTAAACTTTTGAACTAGACTAAGTAAGGATTTTATTTTACTTCCAGGTTTCTCAAACCCTGGCCTTTCCCCTGGGATTGTCAGGGGAAGAAGGGGAACTGTTCAATGGGCAGAGACAACTGTAGGTAGAGGGACTGCTATGATCTAGGGGAGGAACAAAACAGAAATGTATATCCAGGAAAGGGTATAGTGCCTTTCACCGAGAGGCGAGGTACATTGGAGGGATGAGTTTGCAAAGTAAGCTGGAGCCATTTTGGAAGACTATAGAAGGATAAGATATTGAGATATTTTTTCCTTCTTAAGCAGTTAGAGATCCATGGAGGGCTTCTGAACAGTGGTGGGGCCAGTTTGGAAGTAGACTGGATAGATAGAAGAGCAAAGCTTTCTGACTGACAAGGGATAGATTGGTGTCCTAGGTGCCGGGGGCAGATAGCAAGGGAGACTGAGTATGCTGGGCGAGTCCCAGCCTGCTAGGTGGCTGCTAGGCAGGCCCCTGTGCTATGACAGGAAGACCCTGGGTGTTGAGCTGGGCTGTGTGTTCTTTATTCTAATTTTAACATCTCTTAGCCTGTGCCTGAGATCATTAACACTCCTCGGGCCTCAGTCTCTGTCTGTGTGTAAGGATTTAACAGTCTCAGAACAGTTCCTGTTTCCTAAGGTGGTGGGGGCATGAAATTGCCTAGAATGAGATTGGAAGAAGTCCTTTAAGTGTTGTCAATTGATATTTTCAGATGTTACCCTCTGCTCGAAGGGCCAATTGAGAAGATAACAAGTGATAGGATGGGACTATCCCAGTGGAGTAGGGTTCCCACCTCCCCAGCAGAGGGAATCCAGTTCTGTCAGGCCCCAGGTCTGGTGGCTTTTTGATCTGATGGAAGAGCTGGAATTTTCCATGTTTGCTAATGGGGGGAGGGGAGATCTGTGACTCTCTAGGTAGACAGAAAGAAAGCTCTCGGCCGATGCTTGCTCCTCAAAGGGATCTCTCCTGGAGAGGAATGTCAGAACGGAGGGAGGTAATCTTTCTTTGGCTCTCATCTGCAACTATGGGTGGATAGAAGGGAAAAACAAGGCATAGACTATGGTAAAGAGTCTCTGGAGGTGAAGAGCCGTGCCTTACATGTTGAGGAAGAACAGTGATCTGAGAGTTAAGGACCCAGGTTTGAGTTCTCCCCCTACTTAGGGACACTTCTGTGCTGTGTGCTCATTGTAAACCTAGGTATTACATTTCTTTTTCAAAGCCTGCTTTTGTGTCAAGCATCTGTGGTAATGACTGTGGGGCCTTGGAAGAAGACAAAGATCTAGAATTGAAAAGGAGAGGAGGTAGGTGTTTGCAACCTCTCCAGAGTTCCAGGCGGCCTACCAGAGGTAGAGTCTTTGCTTGGTTTCCTCATCAAATGACAGTGTGGGTGGCATTTGGCCTTCCTTCCCCTGGCCTTCTGATGAGAGCACTGGTCTTTCGGCAGGCCTGGATTTATAGGAGGCCCTTTCATCTCTAGAACCACTTCTTGCTTATCTTGCCCTCTGTTCGATATGAGGGTGGTACTCAGATCGATCTCTAGCCAGATTCTTTTTCCATTGTGGGTGGGGCCTTCACATAAGCTCTAATGGCATTCCAGAGAGGACTCTTGGGTAAAAGTGGAATAATAGTTTCCATTGACAAAGTAGTATGGCAAGAAAGAAAAGACACAGCAGTTGCCTCTTCATACGTAAGGTTATGTCTGTATGGTTGCCTGTGTTAGGCTAGAAACCTACAATGTATTAGAATTGAGCTCCAATCTGAGCCTGTTTTCTCTTCTATGAAAGAAAGTAGCACTGAAAATGGATATCATAAGACTGATTTGAGGATTGATGAGTACAGAATAAGAGAATTTAGTGCCATGATTTGGTCAATGGAAGGGAACAACTAAGTCCAAGGGGGAGGAGGGTCAAAAAAGACAGGGTAATACACCCAGACACTAGGATCAGGTCTTGTATCACAAGAAGATAGTGTGCTGTAGTTTATGAGACCCATTCTTGTATGGATCTAGAAATATCTTTGCAAAAAGATCTTGCTCTACATGTCCCCAGAGCACCTCCAGTTGTTTTGCTATCTACCACCATCTCCCCACCCCCTGCAAAAAATTAAATAAATAAAATAGAACAAAAATTATCTGGAAGGTGTGGGCATTCTTTTAGGACCAAGGATATGCTTCAGTGGAAAGACTGATGCCTGGAGACCTGGATTTGATCCTTCGCACCATAAAAGAAAAGAAAAAGAAAATCTTGTGAATCATTTTCTGGCTTCAGAAGAGTTATATGAGGCAGTGTATTATTATTATTATTATTATTATTATTATTACTGCTGCTGCTGCTGCTGCTGCTGCTGCTGCTACTACTACTACTACTACTACTATTACTATTCCAATTTTATAGGTGAAGATACCAAGGTCTATATATCATGTGATGCTGAAGTACTTGGGTTGGACCTTAAATTCAGTTTACTTCAGATCCTAACCCCCCTCTTAGACCAAACTAGGAGGGCATCTTGTTGGAGGAGGAACTTTATAAACAGAAACAGGGGGTTGAAATATGTGTGGAATTTGGGTTTAAGAATAAATTCTTCACTTTAGTTTTAATAGATGCTTGTGGTGAAAGTATTAAAGAGACAGATTACAGCTAGATTGAAGGGCTTGAAGTGCCAAGCTTTTCAGTTTGACTTCATTATGTGTGCAGTGGTTTTTTTTTTAAATTTTTATAAGTGAGACACCATGCATGTCACCTATATTCATTGAAAGGGGAACAGAGATTGGATGGAATAGAGGAATGGAAGTGTGACACTTGACCCTGGCCGGTAGGAGAAACTATAATAGGAGTCTGCCTATGATTAATGTTCCTTTTGTCTTTTACTCTCGGAATCTTCCCTCAGTGAATAGAGAAGAGAATGGAAGACAAAAGGAGAAGGTAGAAAGTGTGAGTGACTACATCAGTGGGGAGTCAGTGTGACTTAGAATGACATAAGCTCCAAAATAGTGACTTGGCCAAGCTAATTGATTTCTCTCTGATATTTCAAGACCCCAAAATAGTCTGCAAAGAGAGGGTAGGGTAGCTCATTCTATCTTCCACACTGCCTCCTTGGCACAAGGCTCCTGCCTCTTGAACTTTAGCCTTCAGGTCTACCTTCTCATTTGCCAAAGGGATGAAGGGCATGTCCCTCTTTTTTAAGGGGGCAGCCTTCTCTTTGGGCAAACTTCTTGATACTTCCTCTAACATCCTATTGGCTAAAACCTAATCATGTGACTTAGTTGAAAGGGAAAGTTGGAAAAGTAGTTTGTAATGTAGATAGCCATGCACCCGGCTGAAAATTAAGAGCGCCATTCCTAAGGAAGGAGAGGAAGAAGGATATTGGAGAGGATGTATTCATTTTCTCGGACTACTGTAAGAAAATACCACAGACTTGATACAAATACAAGAGCAGATTTATTTTCTTACAGCTCTAGAGGCTCTAAGACTATAAGATCAAGATGTCAGCATGTTGTTTTCTTCTGAAGCTTCTTTCTCTCCTTCGCTTCTTCACACGGCCATCCTTCTATGCGTGCTTGCCTCTACGGTTTCTTCCTCTTACAGGATACCCATCAGATTGAATTAGGTCTTATTCTAGCTTCACTCTTATTTACTCAGATCCTTAAATATCTGATCACCAAAAATGGCTACATTTTGACACTGAAAGAGGGGACTTATATAGATGGTTCCTTGTAATCTAGTTTAAAACAAAAAAAACCCTTTATGAACAAATGAATAAATATATAATGAAAATTTGTGACTTGTGCTGTTGTGATAAGAGTTTATTCTGTAAAGCAAAGGTGGAGAAAGCATTCTTAAATTACATGATATGAGAATGCCTTCGAGAAACAATACAAAGAATATTCCAAAGGAAATGCTTAGCAGGATCTTAGTACATGTATGTTTGCTATGGAGACCAATTCTCTCTTTGAACTGGAAAAGTTCCTGGAAAAGTCTCTGAACTGGTCCCTGGAAAT